TTACGTAACAGAAAATGAGACTCCTTTTTGATCCAAATCCTCTAGAGTTTCACTGTCCAGTAGAGCTATGGAAACATTCTGTATCTGTGTTGTCAGTATAGTAGCCATTAGTTATATTTAGCCAGTAATCACTTAAAATGTGGCTAGTACAACTGAGGAACTGAATTTTAAACTTTATGATGTTTTAATTGATTTAAATTTAAATAGCCACATGTGGCTAATTGATACTGTATTGGGCTAACACATCTCCAGAAGAATTAACCACTGTTTGGTGTAAAATCCTGCAGATTTTTTTCTACATGTGTAGTAAAATGATTTAGAATTAATTTTCTTTAAGAACCACATGATATCTTTGATGTTAACTGTAGATCCTCTAGATATGTGCAAAACCAGATATGGCAATTAAACTAATATCGAACCATATAGCTATTAAACATACTGTTGAGTCATTGATAAGTCTCCGAATAAATTGTTTAAAGTTAGACCGTGTTTTGAAAATGGTATCGTGGGAGTATGATATATGGTTTCAATCTTTTTTGATTTATGGTTGTTACTAAGAAGTAAATGACATGGGAAAATACAATGGTTTCTGCAAAACCATGCCATCAAATGAGATTGTACTGTGTCTCTTTTTTCATTTACATTCATTTAGGTTCAGTGAACATTTATTAAGGGCTGACATTTTGCTTGACACTGTGGTAGGCTCTGGAGAAGCGAAAACGAATAGGACACAGTACTTGACGTTATGGAGCCCACTGTCTCTAGTCCAATGGAAGATCATTCAATGGCAGTGACTGTAATAGAACTGGAATAGCACTCTCAGTAAACTGACTCTGCCTGGAGGATTTAGGGCAAAACATCGAACAGTAGGCACTTGGTTTTGTAGTGGAACATTTTGTTTGTTAGGCTTCAAACTTTTTATTATGAAAAACTTCAAACATAATATGTATATCAAGTGGTGAGAATTACATAGTGAATGTCCATATACCCATCATCTAACTTGAGCAGTTATCAATACATAGGCTCTTAATT